AAATGAAGAAAGCTGCTGCAGGCTAGCGGTGCTACACTGCTGAGCTTGGCTGCCTCAAGCAGATCTATCAAGGGAAAAAGGGAACATCTCCAAATCAAGTGCAGAATATAAAAAGGCAAAACGCGAATTTCTGCCAAAAGAAGCAAACATGGCAGGAAAAGAGGAGGTGGGGGGGTGGGGAGGAAGAGGAAAAATAAACCACCCACCCAACTGTGCCCTCCCTCCTGCCACCCCCACGCACCCCACTCCTGGCCCCTACTCTCCCTTTTTTTTTTCTTTTTTTTTTTTCTATTTTCCCCCCTGAAAGCAGAAAGCTGAACTGCCAACTCTTTCACATACTACCCACCAGATGAGGTGGGGCCTCTCTCCGGCAACCACTTAGCTCCAGAAATGATGTGAGGGTAGAAAAAGGCCACTCTGCTGGAAATTGTCACTCTTACACAAGCTGGCTCTATTCAGTCCCTGATCAAAGCACTGCCTTACAGAGAAAGTCGATTTGCACGCCCTGGGACAAAATAATCTAATTTACAAGCTCAGGCTATAGAACTTTCTTTATGGAGGAAAGGAAAAAAAATTAAAAAAAAATAAAATACAAAAAAGAAAAACCATATAAACCAATTCCTGCCACCCCCCCAGCCCCCCTCCTGGAAATATCATCTATGATTTCTTGCTGCTTAAGACAGCAGAAAGAGGAATTTTAGCATATTAATCTCAAGACAAGATAAGTTTCTACTTGTCTGTGTAAACAGTTTATTCACTGCAGGGATCGGGAGGCTGCAAGTCAACTGAATTAGCAAGTCAGCGAGTTAATTTTTTGAGAGGATGGTAACGTCACAAATCGAGTCCCCTCAAAGCAAGGAACGTATCTGCTGGAAATGTCTCTTTTTTGGGAGATCCTGCTTCCCACACCAGCTTACAGGTGGAGTGCTTCTGAAGGTCACCAGTGATGTGCACAAGGCCAAGCCCCGGTCTGCTCAGCACTAGTGGAGATATCAAGGTGGTGGATGGAGCCAAGGCTCTCACTAGACCCAACCGGGGAATCTCTGCTTGGATTTGGAGCAGGAGGACAAATTCAGTGCTATGGAAAAGTCCTAATTAGCACCTGGCTTTCAGGGAAGGACCAAATACAACTGGGCACAAGCAGGTTTTTGGCTCCCACTCAACGCAGAGCAGAATCTCTCGTCTGGCATCACGTAGGGATGGAAACCCTCTCCTCCCCTTCTCCCTTCCCTCCACCTCTGCTCGTTCCCCATCCCAGCATTTCCCATGGCCAACCCAGACCCTGCAGCTTCCACCTGAACTTACCGGAAAATGAGGTAGAGAAACTTGACCGTTGGCCTTGACACTTCGATGCATCTCCCGCTGGAGCTGCTTCTTGCTCCCAATTCTGTATGGGGGGATCCCATCTCTGCACATGGAAAAGAGGTCAACCATCAGCAAAGGTTCTCCCCATGCTCTAACCAAGACACTCTCCATCACCTCTGAAACCACCCTGGCATGTCACAGGTCTACCCAACCAGGTACACCACAGGTCCACCTTCCCAGAGGTGCTGAGCCCTCTGGACATCACCCGAAGCCAGGAGAAGCCTCAAACATCTGGTGGCTTGGGAAGGGCCTGTGTCACCATCTACATGGATATGCAGTAATTAAGCAAAAGCTGAAAAGCAAGCTGAAAGCGACTCCACACAGGAAGACACCCAAAGATCCCATCAGTTTAACTTCTGAGGTATCTTACTGTTACCAAAAGGCCCTTCCAATGTTTATTTTCTGCTTCTGCCCTTTATTTTGGTGCTTTTTCACCACCGAATTACACTCTCTGGGACCACAACTTTCCCCAAGCTCTGCAACACCCCATGGGGTGGTGGCACTGTGGAAATAAGAAGGAAGAGGCCGAAGATGGATGGCCACCAAAAGGCTGCTCCTCACAGAATGGTTTGGGTTGGAAGGGACCTTTCAAGGTCATCTAGTCCAAGCCCACCCTGCAATAAGCAGGGACATCTTCAACTGGAACAGGTTGCTCAGAGCCTCGTCCAACTTGACCCTGAGTGTTTCCAGGGATGGGGCTTCTACCACCTCTCTGGGCAACCTGTGCCAGTGTCACCTCCATCCCTACTTAAGATCCAGGATGCTTCTCCTGCCCTGAGGCCGGCCAGCACAGGCAGGCCACCGCAAGCCATGAGCAAAGCCAAGCTGTACCCTCTGGGCATGATGTTGTTCCCCTTGGCCATGTCGAATCACGGCCATGAAGAAGAGACCAGGTGAGGAGCACCAGTGGGACCAGCCCCCTGCACAGCCTGCTCGAGGCAACATGGGGTGTTTTCATCTGGCCACGCAAAAAATTACCTCAGTTAGGATTAAAGGGCCTTCTACAGACAGTGGGGACAGCCAGAAGAGCATGCTTGGAGATCCTGAATGTCTAATTTCACCCCTTCCCTCAGACTGGCTGAATAACCTTGATCTCTGCTCCTGTCCCTTTCATCCACCTGCCCCCACACCTGACTCATCTCCTGAAGAGAGAAAACAGCTCCTGCCCAAGGAGGAGCTACGGCAGTGGCCAAGCAGGCAGTGGTAGCCCTGAACTGCTGCCAGAAAAGCCAACGTGGGATGGCATCCCTATGTGCCACCTCCCGTGGCCACACACCGACATGTTTTGGACATTCAGCTGGAGACACAGCACAAGGAGACACCTTTCCAGGGACACCAAGGTCCCTTCTCTTGAGGAGGATGATTAGATGCCATCACTCCACGCTCAAGGTTTGAAGCATGTTATCACAGGCCTTTGTGAAGATCTTGGCCAAAGCGTTTAGTTGCCATTAAATTGTTTTAATGAGTAAGATTAAGCTGCAAAGCCTGGAGTGAAAGATCAGGACAATTTCATCTTAATAAACTTGGAAAAAATCTTTATAATGAAAGAGAGCACGCTGGGATGGCAGAGAAAGTCCTTGATGCCACAAGATGAACATCAGCCTCCTCTAGACAATGTTACATTACAAGTGAAAGGAGATAATTGTCCTAATGACCCCATTGCACAACACAGCGCTCTGGAGCACTTTCTGGGGAAGCAGCCCAGCAAATCACTGGCCACCACAGCTGACCATGGCCACTGACCTCAGCCACTGGTGGCCACCAAGTACTTCTGCTCCATGAACCCATGGGGCAACAAGGGCTTGGGACACATGCCATGCTGTTTGGGGGAGGATGGGGAAAAAGCAAATCTAAGGTGAAAACCAAATTATCTGTAGTTTCAGAGAAGTATTTGTTAATTGAGGCTTACTAAGGTAAGGGTGGCTTAGGGAAGAGCTTCAATATAGGGAATAACCAGTAAAACAGGTGTTTTAAAGGGAAGTGAAAATGCCAGCATGAGCACGTTCCAGGGACACATACACACGGGACTAATCCCGTTAACATCTTCAATTAAAGAGGAGGTGTCCTCCACAAACAGCAGGCCAAGAGGCCAGATGGGGAAG